AAGTAATAAGGCCCTCCTCACCATGTTCTTTCATAGCCTCCTTCCCATCGCTTAGTTCTTTCAGGTTCTTCATCCATTTTTTCTTAAATGTATTATATTATTCAGTATCCTATAAAAATCATTAGATTGTGAATTTTCTAAAGATGTTTGTCACCAAATGCATACAATTAGATTTGAAAAGTAAAGAGAGGAAAGTAAACATACAAAGTAAAAACAACTCAGATTGCAAGGTGATCTTATTCTTTGCAATTTATTCAATGATTGTTGTTTGGTGAAAATACTTTATAAAATCCTCATGGAACTCTTTTTCCTGTCCCAAGGAGAAATGTTTATGCACAAATCTGGAACCAACAGAAGCATCTTTTCATAATTGTTTTAAAAACAAAGATGCATTATAGATGTGTCATAGAACAGGACCATAGAATTTTGGGAAGTGGGTATGGGTGTAGAAGAAACAAGATTAGCCACAACTGATGATTATTATAGCTGTGTAATAGACACATGATTCATTGTACTACCTCTGCACCTGCAACACCCTGGTGTTGGAAGAGATTCATTTGTTTCAGAAAATCTGGTGATCCACTTTAATATCCTGAAGGAAAAATGACTTAATTCTAACATCTGTGCTATTTCAATATGCTACCTATGTTGGTGCTTTGTAGGTTTAATGATTGTTGTAACATGGTATAGTGACTAAAATGAACATTTTGATTCTCCATGCAACTGTTTTTGTATTGAATGTCAAAAACCAGAAGCTAACATGTCTTCAACTTAAATTCTTAAAAACGTGGCTACTGCCATCCATGACATGAATATTTAAACTGTATTTTATTTTTAGTTTATTTGAATTCTCTGAAAGTTCAGAAACAAAGTTAGAAGTAATCAGGAGAAACTACAAGCGCGAATATTTCTTGTATGCTTACTGCATACAAGAACTTCTTAATTAGAGCTACCTGCAACGGGAAATTACATGGATAAGACAGAGGCATTAAGCGCTCCATAACTACAGATGTTCGAAGGGAAGTTGGATGTTTACAATGCATGCTGTTAATAGAGAAGGGATTTATGCATCCTGGAGAACGATGTACTTGATGGCATTTTAGGTCAGTATCTCCAACATAGTCAGTATCTATGACTTTCACTTTCTTACAAATATCGCAGATGTTTCCTGGGAATCCAACCCCAGAAAGGCCATTTCCCCCAGCGTAAGCCAGTTGGTGTGATTCCTGTCATATGAGCTTAGAATGCTACATTCACACAAATGAGATCTGCACCAAACACCGCAATTTAAGAAGCTTTTCCTTACATCTTATCCTGCCAAGTGCTATGAGACAAGCAAAGGTGATTACCGTCCCGTTTTTTAGGTGTGGAACTCGAGGATCAAAGGTTGCTAACTCTCTCGAGGCCACACAAAGGGAGGCCGGTCATGAACTCCAACCCAGGATCACAATTCCCAAAACTCGCGCTCTGACTTAGGGAAGGAAGAAGAGCCATTTCTGACTTGTGCAGCCCAAATACTGCCACGCTGCTCTGCAGAAAGAAATTGCCCTCCTCCAAACGCTCCCTCGCAGCCTCATTCTCTATGAGGCTGGTCGGGGCCATTCAGCTTCCGCCCCGGGAAGCAAAGGTCCGTCCTTGACGCGATGCTCCCCATGCTGCCACCCCAGCCTAGGTTGCGCGCTGACTTCTATCCGCGGACTCACCCGTCCTGCCCGAAGACGCTGTGCCCGGACGCCGCTGTGCCCGGACGCCGCTCTGCCCGGACGCCGCTCTGCCCGGACGCTGCTCTGCCCGGAAGCACCGCCCTATCTGCTCTAAAGAGTCCCCGAAGTTCTTCCGCTGTGAGCGGTGGTGACGCAGAAACGTTCCGGCTGCTTTGAGTGGAGGTTGTGGCAGCCGGGCGTTCCGGGGTGGAGCCATCCCCGAAGTTGACTTAGATTTCGGGGAGGGACCTCCTGTCCTCACTTATAGCTCACAAAAAGGCGGGAAAAGTGCCATTTGCTCTTGGAACGTCGGGGGCCGGGTAGCTGTCGACCCAAGATTTGAGAAGCGTGGTTTTTATCTATGAAAGATTGACATGAAGAACTCTGACCACAGCAGCTAGGCCAGAACTTTGCTGTGCCACCGTTTTCTGGGATGCCCCGGCTGCTTCTGCTGTTCTTGCAACAAATACTTATTGAGCTTGATACGTACATTAGGCTTGATATGGTTCTAGGGACTGAGGGAATAGCAATGGAAAACATTACAAAAAGTCCTTGGCCTCATGGAGTTTTCTTCTATTATGGAGACAATTATTAATAAAAA